GGCTTTCGGTTCTTAGAGCCCTCTGTCTTATGGTTTACATCTCTGTGTTTCTTAGTTGCTGTCTCCACCATGTCAAGTTCGCGTCTCTGTGTCTTACTTCCTGTTTTACTTTGAAGGTCAGTGTCTTATGTGAATGTGTTCAGTTTGCGCTTCCTTGTCTCGTCAGTTCTGATTTCCCCCAGCTGTGCTCTCCTTCTGTGTCTCATTCCCCTCGTTACTTCCAAGTGTGTGTACTTCCCTGTGTTTCTCTGAGTCAGTGTCGTGTCGTTCCTCATGCTGTGTGGATCTCCCTGTGAGTTTAGTGTGTTATTCCCAAGTTTAGTTTACTTTGTATGCTTGTTTTTCTGTGACCAGCAAATAAAGCTGTGGTTTTGAGTTCACCCTCGAGTCTGTGAGTCCTGCATTTTGAGTCCTCATCTCCTGCCTGCCACAAAGCGTTTTATGACAAGAACAGTCTTTTGTAAGTAAATATTAATAATAATAAAAAAAAACTACAGACGCTATGTGGCCTAGAGTACCAGCACCTCAGAAAACAGTGAGTCACATTATTATGGCTTTTACAAATGACCTCTCATTTGGTGGTGTCCTTAAGCAATGAAATGTGGGGCTGCTCATGAATAGCAGCAACGATACACACACACATTAACAGAGTGAATTCAAATAGGTAACATGTGAAAACACACAAAGATACATGCACACTGCTGTCACAGTGAAAGATAGTTATGAAACCCGAGTAGACAACGCTTGCTTCATGCCAATTAAACACTGGCACGGCTGGAATACATGGTAACATACACAGAAACCGAGAGTGGAGAAAAGTTGTAATGACACAGCAAGAGGAGGGATTAGGAACAAAAACATGGAAAAAAAACGTGAAAAAACAAAAAAGAGAGGAAAGTGCCGCTGTTGAAGGGCACAGACAGGCTGTTATAAAGTTATGTCATTGCACCAATCTTAGAATATTTTCTTTATAATCCTGAGACATATGTTTACATTTTTGTTGTTTAGATCTCTTAAGGTGGAGACTCCACAGACCTATGAGCTCATACAGATTATGAAAAGATATTTAACACACAAGAGTGAAAAAAAAGTCAGACAGGTTTTAATGTGAACTTTAAGAAATTTTAGTTTTTCTTTTTTAAATCCTAAAACTGTAATTAAACACAGATAGCTCTGATCAAACAAGGTGTATTTGTATAACCATAAATGAATTATCTGTGAGAGAAATGTAACTCATTTAAATGTCAGTATGTTGTTTGATTGAAAGGCATGTGGTGATAAGCCCCAGTGACATTTTTTACAATTATTCTTATCAGATCAGGTTTAAATACTGAAACGCGTTCACAGAAAATAGTTTTTTTTAAGCTGATTGTGGAGTATGAAAGAATTATGCACTCAACACAATTACACACACTTTACTAATGAAAAAGTTACATGATGCAAACTGAAGGATTCAATATTTTTTTAAACGTAATGAATGAATATGAGAAGAAGAAAAAGAAAAACTTACCAGCCTGAGTTTTGCTACTTTATTTGGCAAAAACAAAAGAAAAAAATCTCTGACCTAACTGTTGGATTTAATGGCTGGAAAATGTGTGTGTACTGATGTTCCACTGACCTCTTTTTCTTACAAAATCAATTAAGATGGCAAAAATAAAACCAGAAATTTTGATCATATTTCCCATAAATGTCTCTTCCATCAGGTTCACCTTCACTGAACTCCAGACATTACACCTAGTTTGAAGGAACAATAATCAGAAGCTCCGCTGGTCAATGTTTTGAAATGTTACAAATGTTCTGTTGTTTCGTATGATTGAAATCAAAAGAGAATTAACACGAGAATATAGATTCCACATTTCCATATCCTTCGTACTTGAATCCACGAAGTAAATACTGAAAGTTCATTATTGAACTTGAAAATACCGTTTAACAAAAAAAGCATCTTCGTCTTTAGTTCCTTTTGTATCGTGTGGCAAATCTTGGGTTAGCTCAGATCAATCTTAAAGATCACATTAGATCAGATTATTGAATAAGAATGAGCTGTAGATTTACCACACACTGACAGCCTAACAAAAATTCTTAACTTATATTATTCAAACTGTAGAATTCGCTTCATTGTAGTGACGTTTGCTGGGGTTTGTTGGTTATCAAATCAGCCTTAGAGACTGTGTGGCTACAGCTAGACCTTCCCTACATTAGGTCAGACATTCTTACAGCAGAATTTTGCAGTTTTCTGTAAAGACATGAATTTAGTTTGAATAATTTTGCCATTATCACATTAAAATCCAAATTTCTACCATTGGGATACCTTTGGAATGAGGGGCCTGAGCTTTCTCTTTGGCTGGCAACCCATACCCTGAAGCACAGCCCGTTCTCACCCCCAAGGCGTAACATCCCGACGATTGGTCAAGTCCTGCGGCGTTCCTGAGGAACGCGAAAGGTGACCTTCCGCGTTCTTATGCTACGTGCCGAGTTATGGGTGAAATCCAGTACAATCACGGTCCTGAGGTAATACACGTTCCAGCCATGTATTCTAGCCCTAACCCCAACCTTGTCCCTAATGCTAACCATAACCTTATCCCTAGCCTTAACCATCACTATAATGACGTTAAACAGTGTTTTCCAAAGGATTTAAGTAAAATGAACGAACACGTGTAGATTGATTCCAAACGGTTTTCATGTTTCCTCGTTTTTCCGATCTCATCATTTAGGGACGTGTTAGATGCCTGGAAGCGCAATATGTTGACGAATTGTCACCTAGCATAAAATATTAGTTTTTGGGAGTGAGAACATGTTGTGAAGCAAGACCCCTGCAGCAAAGATTGGGTTAGGGTTGTAGGACATTACATCATATGAAATGTGGTTGTGAATGGTTACCTGTATTCAGTAGCAGATGACCTGTCTAGTGTATCCCATGATTCACTGTACATGGGATACTCATGGGACCCCCATGGCCCTCAACTGGACAAGCGGTTAAGAAAATGTATTTATGCATGTATGCATATATGTATTTATGCATGTATGTATTTATGTATGTATGTATGCATGAATGTATGTATGTATGTATGGATGGATGGATGGATGGAAGATTGCAAAACAGTTCACTAAGCAACTCGAGCTGCATTGCATCAGACACAATAACATGCCTCACGTCATTTACCAAACACAACCTCCCAGTTTGGCAAGCTATTTTGACCATGCTGTTTTGACCCTGATTGATGAACCAAACCATCCATTTGTAGGCTTTGATGGGATGTTTACTTGTCACTCCTCAATTTGTATATCGTATTGGAGTGATGAGCTCTGGTGCCTGGACACCGAACTCTAGCCGTAGACTTCTGCTGTAACGAAAGACTCATTTCAGATGTGACTTGTCTGGCTGAACTAACATATGGAAGCCATAATTAAAATCATCTGGTGTATTTACCCTTAGCAGGCAGATGTTACCGTAAGTTATACAGTTTTTGCATCAGTCATCAAAAAAAGTCTTGGAGCGATATTTTAAACAACTTCTCATGTTTCTGTTATTAATGCAACAAGTACCATGTGTAGCACGAAGATCACAGCAAGTCAGAGAAATTAAAGACAAATGAACTGAATAAGAAGAGAAGAGGAAAGAGATGAGAGCAAAAAGGAGGGTAAACATGGATAGAGATGTAAAACCTTTTTTGGCCGAGGTGACTGAGAGCTAACAACAAACAAATGGGGCTAAAGAGCTAAAACCAATGACAGAGCAGAGTGATTGAGTTTTCATTCTGTATGTAGAGTCTAAATTTAACCCACAATTGTTTCCAGGCTCAGGAGAAATGGCATCCCACCCACATGTGAAGCAGACACGAGATCATGGGTCTCATTCAGTTTCAGTTGTCATCAATCAGCTTGGGCTGTGTCCCCTGCCAGCATTACATCATGGCATACCTATTTTGATTTTAACAAGCCAGAGAAGTCATTTGGTGCACTGGCAGCGAGAGTCATACCACGTCGGGACTAATCAGTTCTGCACAAATTGGAGGAAGAACATTCAGAGCTGCTTAAAAGCCCTCGGCAATATTCCCACAATGTAAAATCATGTTTGCATGCTAGGGTCACTTGTGCTTAATCACACTACAAGCATCCACTGGCTCAGATGTGCTGTTGTTAAAGATCTTTTGGGGCATTAACAGCCTAATATACATATGAATGACTAGCCAGTTTAGCTTCCACTTCCACCATTTGACGCAAAATAATGTTGCGTGGGGGTTTAGGTAGGTAGGTAGAAGCCTGGGGATGCCAGTGTTAAGGTCCACCCAAAGGGATTAATTATACTATGATGTAAAGTTCTCATGTTCTTCCATGTTTTTAATGTATTCTCTTGATATATATGGTACATTTTATTTTGCAAAGGTCACACTGGCTGTACAGTACAATGCAAAAGCTCTAGGTTCTCAGAGGGATCTGACTGTTCACCTATACAGCCATAATGATAATAATGAAAAGCAAGCCGCAGTTACATGAAGAACAAGGAGTTTTGCAACAGATGGTGCAGCTTCTATAGAGCCACAGTCTCAATATAATGAAGTCATGGGGTATTACGTGATCACAGAAGACAATGTAGCAGAATAACTCTACAGAAGAGCTTTGGGAAGATGTTTAGCAAGTTCAGCAAATTCAGTAAGTGTACCAAGCCATTCTCGCTAATGCTTTTATGTTCTATGTTTTTACATTATTATGATGTGTCATATTTTAATTTCAGCACTTTGTGATTTTTATCTGTGAAAGGTACTATAAAATGCATTTTACTTACTTAGTTACTTACTAACTGAATCTATCAGCACATATTTCCAAAGAATTTAAACCAAATGACCTGTTTGAGTGTTGCGTGTCAGTTTAGAGGTCTTCTTTCAAGTTTTTAATAAAGTATTAATGTTTTCTCTATTCTCTATTAATGCTATACTCCAACTGTTCTTCTTCATTCCTATTCATATTTTGCTGATGAGAACAAACAACATCTTTTTGCTCACCTTCTAATATTGTGAGGTTCTTCAGAGCCATGGAGTGCTCCCAGTCCTTCAAACGGAGGTCCTCTGTGATTGTGTTCAGGATCTCCATCTCATTCCTCAACTGGGCCTCCGTGTGGACGTGGGTCACCCATAAACTGCTGGTGTCCTCTGTTATGTTGCTGATCTGGATCTGAATGTGGGACGTTTATGACTCAGTTTATGAAAAGTAGATCTGATGTAGAGGTAACTTTTGTGCAAGCTATTATGAACATCTAACCTGTAAGTCACGTATCTTCAAATGGTGAATACTGACATCGTTGCTGAAGGTGTGGTTGACAGCTCCCACTGTCCAGTTGACCTCGTCTAATTTTTCCCTCAGTTCACTCACATGACTCGAGGTTTCCCTAAAGTAAATCAGAATCCCACAGAAGTCCATTTGAATGTTATTAAATGCAGTAGACTACAAAAACTGTATTAAACGTGTACCTCAGCAGGACGTCATGATCACGAAGCCACGTGGATGCTCGGGCCACCTCCGAACTCAAGCTCGTCAGGTTCCGACCCGCGGAGCTACTTAGCAAGGACAACCTGTCATCCAACTGCACCAGGTAGCCTTCTGACTGTAGAGAGTGAGCCTGCATGCTCCTCAGCTCCACCTCCAAGCCCTGCAAGGAAAAGGACTCTGACTAATGGTAGTATTTCTATCATCAGCCTTTATTTTTCAACCTTAAACTTAAATTAATTAAGCATTGTTGGTTTGTTGCCCTACAATGCTCCCCCTTTGGCACTTCTCTTTTCACCAGCTAGCCAGTTTGCAGAAGCCCCTGACTGAGCCATGGCCTCAGAACAGTGGCCGTACCAATGCAACCCCACTAGCAGCTGAAGGTTGAGAAAGGGTTACAGTAGAGATTCTTAAAAGAACTCTGCAACACATCTGGTGTCAACATCAGAGGCATCAAAAAAGAAATGTTTTTGCTAAATCACTGTCTAGATAGATCAGATAGAGGAGATCCATAAGCAAAAAAAAGGTCAAGTACCACCAACTGTTGTGCCTACAGTGAACCCAATCAAGTGAGCTACAGATCCCAGGCCAGTCAGTTAAGCTCCTGCTAACAGCAGAGGTGTGGAATAGAAGAGCCCTAAAGAGTATTCTTAAAAACACTACAGGGTGGCTGGGCATCTGTTCTTTGGTCAAATGCGGGAGACGAGCTTGTCTCTAACGATCAAAGCACCAAAACACTCAATGATGCCTGGGGTGAACCATTTCTGAGTATTCCTGTTTAAATTGGGCCACCTTCATTAATCACACTTTCCTCTATAAACATTTAAGATACAATAAAATGGGGCATCCAGATATCTTGTGTTGTACCTTGATGAAGATCTCCAGCCTCTGCAGCCAGTTGCTGTGGTTCTGGAAGAGGTTTTCCAGTTTCCAGATGTTCTCCAGCAGGTCAGCTTGTTTGGACTCCTCTCCCAGGGTCTGCTGGAGCAGCTGGGAGCGCTCTGACATCCGGGTCGCATTCTCCGTCAGCACCTCCTGCCGCTGAGAAGACACCTGGGAGCGAGAGACTGGGGAGGGAAAGAGTGTGGAAGAGAGTCAGAGATTTGTTCTAAGTGTTGAAGCAACGATCCCTCAGCTAAAGCAAAAGTCCCCAAATCGAGTTTCATTTACTATCAATCACGGAGCTCGCCAGCACTGTAATGTAGAGCAGATGTTGAGTCAGGCGCCTGCTGTGATTCTGGTTGTCTATTTATGCTGAATGTATTGTTTGGTTAAGTCAAGACCTAAATAGTTTTACGAGTTTCTTTACTTGGAGTGCATATATAACATGACATTGTGGAAATTCTGCCTTCATTTTGAGTAATGCTGAAGTTGGCTTCTGCATGCCGGTATTTATCCAATGCTTGGAGTTTTGTTTCACAGGTATGATGCATTGACTTCCTATGATAAAAATTCCATTTCAAACATACTTCCCTCCTTCTTAACTGTCTACCTAGTGTTCTGACATCAACACCTACAAGGGTTATACAGTACAAAATTGAGGACGAGAGGACTTTTTTTTTGTCATTCTACATTAAATATAAAACCAAAGTGAATCCTTTCTATTAATGAATTTCAATTCTGGAGACATGGTTAAATCTAAACAGTGGCTGTTTAGCTGTAACATCGCATTTGATGATGGTTAAAGCGCAGAGGAAAATTTCTCGTCTTGCATTTTCTTGTTGCATAAAGGTCACTTCTCAAGCCTCACTCTCTTCTGTACCGTATCTAATGAGAAAAACCACCATGGTTTTATGTTATGTTGAAAGCATGCTGCATAGTAACAGCTCGATAGCCTGGCAGATATTTTGAAACCAGATCCTCAGCGCTGTGCCACGATGGCAACCTCTTCTCTGCAGGACCAGTGTGTGAAAAACCTTCAAAAGGAGAAAATGGACGAACTGAGGAAATGGGAGGAAGCAGATTATTCCCTTCACACATGTTCCTCGACACGCTAATGCCCCTAACAGCTCGATATCACACACTCTGAATATTCCCGTTACCACGAATTTAAGACAGCAGTGTGTTTCTGCATGTGTGGCTTCATGTTCCTGCATTGTGGCCAGGAATCAGCAGCATGACTTCAGGGAAAGAAAAGTGCTGCAAAGCCGCAGCACTGCAAACAAACCATCTGAATTTCATCTCATTATGTGTGTTAGGTTTATTCCTAATGACCTGAAAAACTAAATAAGCTGCAATCTGTCCACTACACAGGGTGCTTAATTGCTAAATGATGGTCTGTCAGCAGCAGCAGAACCTGACACTATGGAGCGTATCAGGAGTACTTCTACATGAAAACAAAGAAGGGAAAACATGAACAAGAAGCTGTAGGATAAGAAAAAGAAGAGGAGGTAAGAAAAAAAGTGATGAAAAATAGAGCAAAGGAAGAAGGAGAAGGATAATCGCACAGGCTAATCTTGTTTGCAGTTGTGCTTATTGTTTGGGACAGGTACCATGAGTAGAAATGCAAAGCTCAAGTTACACAGTTTGGTTCTCATGATCAGAAAAACGCTTGAATGATGACAGATGTAGAAGTCAGCCAGTTATGGTTCCCCATTTGAAAACACTGAGAATGTTAGAAGAAAAAAATGTTGGTGTATACACTACAAAGTTACTGTTTGTATCGTCTTAAAACTATTTTGAAAATGTAATCGTTATTATCTTTCAAAGACTATTTTAGACATCGGTCATCTTCACTCTTCTTCCCCTGCCTAAACTAAAAAGCAGTTTCAGACTGTGAAGAGTTTCTCTCTTAATGTTATATACACATCTTAATCTTATACAAGTCTGTACAAAGCCTGATATTTATATGTTATCTACTCTTGAGGTGAAGCTAAAAGCTTGAGGTAACACAGCTTCTCCGGTCACAGCTGGGAAGCTGGGAAATAACCCGTGTTAATAGGTCAGGTCAACAGAGTCGCTGATGTTTTTAAACCTTTTCTTTACAAGCTATCTGAGAACCTTGCATCACTTTACTGGATTTTTGACTTACTTTTATTTCTTGTTATGTTACTTTTAACTGTGTTTGGCTTTATTTGTCATATTTGCTTAAAGGACCAGAGGGAAAAGGAAGGAGGAAACAATTTATGGTTCTCCACTGACTTTGGTTTGCATGAAGGTGTCTCCTTGCCAATTCCATCTACTGGTAAAACAACTTAAAATTGCTTAAAAGCTGTAGTAAAGTGGGATTAACCACAACAGGATAACTGGAGGTTTTTTACATACTTCTAACTGAAAAACTGAGCATTTAAATGGACAGACAGAAACTTGAATATAGTCAAAAGAAAAAAAAAGATGTGAGGATGAAAGAAGAAGGGCAAAACTCATTATAACTACATCTGCAACAAGTACGTTGACACTGATGAAACAAATATATAAATGCCAGTTTCAGGCTGCTGTGTTTCTATAAATTATGCAAAATCATTTCAACAGTATGAAGCCTATAGAAGGATGTGGCATAAACTTAACATATTGACAAGGGCCTTGGTAGCTTGTACATAGTTTTCATTAGCTGTCAGCTAACTAAATGTAGGGTGCATAAATATTTCTTCTGACATAGCAACAGTTGCATGTTGAGACCAAATGTTTCTGCTCCACTGGGCAGCTTTCAGAGAATGAGGCGCTACAGTCTGTCAGTCACTGTTTACTTCATTCTATGCTGCTTGTGTACATGCCGAGTTTTGAAAGTGTTCTATAAATAAATATTATTATTGCAATTAAACATGATCTGCCAACACATGTTTTGCAGGACCTTGGATGTTGTCTTATGGTTTCAGGCATTATGATGTCACACAAAGAAGGTCCAGGGTTTGAGCTTGCATGTTCTCCCTGTGTGTATGTGGGTTCTCTCTACAGTGCTCATACGATCCAAAGGCATGCATGTTAGGTTAACTGGTGGTTTGGTCTGTGGTCTGTGATATGAGCACAAATGGGTGTCTGTCTCTGTGTGCTGACCCTATACAAGACTGGTGACCTGTCCAGATAATGCCACAGTGTTTTATGGCAGTTGGATGGGTATCTGTCTGACCTGTGGCCCTGTGTTGAGGGAATGGATCCTTCCATTAATGAGCTATGAAAAATATGGCATGAAGATTTCATCAACACCACTGGTTGAGATGCAGACCCAAACAGAGTTTTCACAGTGATATTACACATGGCTGTGGATATTTGGATTCACTGGTCCCTCAGACCTGTTGTCATGGATTTTCAGTCCAGTTTGTAATTTAGTATACCTCAGCGCTTTCTCCCCATTTCCCTTCATGAAGAATGGCTTTTAGAGAGCCATCCTTCCACTGAGACCATCGCTGATGAGGCTTCAGTGAGCAGTAAATGGATTAACTAAAGGTCCAGATGCATGTCTCAGGTCCTTTGTCAGGTGTTTTCTGTCTACCCTTATTAACCATGTGACTTTTAAATATTGCTCAGTTTTCTAGGATTGATATTTCCTTTTTATCCTCCACTTGTCCAGTTTTCTCAATTTTGTTGGAACACACTGCACACCATGCTGAGATATACCAAGTTCTCAGCTAATAGCTCTTTAGGAATGAACTTGTTGGTCTAAGTTTCTATCTGTCAAACTATGTTATCATTGATATTTTTCATAGATACAAATGAGGGGTTTTTGTTACAGGGTGCTAGAAACAAAGTGCCAAAGTTCTTCTGCTTAAAACAAATTCTCACAAAATTAAGCAGTAAATGTCCAAAAAAACAAGAAAAAAAGAAAGACATTAAGAAAACCTGGAGAACTATTGCTCAATACCGCTTGAAAAATTACAATAAAGTCTGGCTCCTTGGAAGTAAAATAGAAAGAAATGAAGGGTGTTTCAAGACTTTTGTATTTGTACATCTCTTTCAGTCATTAACCCCAATCATTAAGGTCCTCTCAGTTTTTAAGGTGTGCATTTGTGACTTCAGGCAAAGCTGATGAGAAATGGCTTGAAAGTTGAGACATACGCCTGACAAATCCATTTCAAAGCTCTTAAAGCTCAGCTCTGTAGGATGGGAAAGTCATCTTGTCTCTTTTCCAACCCCCTTCTATTCTTTGCTGTGTATTTCACACAAGAACACAAGCACACATACACACACACAGTGGCATGGCAGAAATATTCAAAACAGATTAGCCCCATATTCACAACTTCATGGTCTTTGAGTTCTTCTGTCGAGACACAGAGGAGGCAGACACTTGATCCATTCATGTATCAAATGCTGGGAGCACAGGCCAGCTCAACAGCTGGGCTTCTCTGTGTAATGTGGAAGAGTCCCACTTTGTCAGTATATATGAATGTGCAGATGATCTGAGGTATCATCTGCATTCAGCGAGGTCGGGAAGAACATTTACCAAGCAAACCACCCTGTTCTGAGCAAAAACTGTTTAGATGGTTCGTTAAAAAGAAACAACCAGCGTGAGGTTACAGATGTAACTGTTACCAGTAGAGTACGGCTGTGCAGGTGAACTGGTTTTAAACTCTTTCTCTTTATGTCACGGGTTATACATATGTGAATTTAGTACAGTGTACACATTCCCCTCCTGGCTTTTTACTTTAGGAAAAGATCATGGTCTGGATTAAAATGTCACAAACTGGGAATTATAGAACTGCCTTATTAATGCCATGACCTGGTGCATCCAGGTCCATAGCTAAAGGAGGCCTTGTACATAAATTTACTATACCAGAGGCTTTGAGCTTGGGACACCTCAAGCACCAGTTTAAGTGATGACAGGATTTTTGGTAACATTGGTGCACAACACAATCAATGTGGTAACCATAAACTAGGTTTCAAAATCCCTAAAAATGTTATTAGCCCTGATCCAGTGATGTACAGGTGCACTATGACATCCCATTTAATGTGCTTATAGGTGCAACAGATGATTTGAAAATAGGCATAAGATAAGATATAAGACTATACTGAGCGTTTATGGGCTCTAAAATATCAAAACCAAACAGATTTAGGGGCGTTCGGATTTTAACAAATTGGTCAAAAATGGAAGTGAAAATAAAAAAAATCAAAAAAAATCACTTGAAGTGGAAAG